AGCAGGAATTTTTTTCTCTGCCTTTCCCATAACCATTACTTAACAGTACTCCGGAATGTTCTGGTTGCTCTTTGCTTTGTCCTGACACCGCTCAGACTCCAGCCTCTAGTCATCTGCACCATTTTTTCCTGCTATTAATGCTTCCGTTGACAGTTGTTTTAAGTTCCTAGGTAGGAGAATACTTCCAAAATAGAAGCAGAAACAGTTTGCCTCTAGATAATAGGCTGACATGCCAAACATGTTGTTGCTTCACTTGAAGATGCATCCCTGTTGAGCAGGTGACACTGAGAAATAGCTCTTTTGCTGTGACGTATCACAGTTATGGCAGACAAGCAGAAGTGTTTAGCTTCTGTTGCAGACTAATGAGCATGTGATTAATGACACAGAACTGAGATATGGGGGTGATGGGACTCAGGCAGCAGGCTAAAAACACGGGGGAAGATGGGATGAGTGCTGATAATTGACTGAAAAAGTTTCCTTTATTCCTCCTGTCACTGTCCCTGTTACCTCACTGATTTGGTTCCAGAAACCTGACCAAGGCAGCTAGCTAGGTGTTGACCACAGAGCCTCCGACAGACCCTGGGTACAAACAGTGCAGCTTTATCGGTTTCCACAGCACACTGGAAAAACTCCAGGGCGGGATGCAGTGTCTGGCAGGGATGGTCTTGTAGCTGTTTCTGGTGGGAGGGATTGGGGAAGAGTGAGAAGTGTGTCAGAAATTCAAAAGATTAGGTGAGACAGTTTTCAAGCTGAAATATGGAAGAAGGTTTTTTTTAACAGTGTTGTGGGAATGTGGTATACTTTAGAGAGGTGGAGTCTATCCACCAAGTCTATCCAAGGTGGGTGCTCGTAATAGCTCACTACCAGAAAGCCTCTTGCAAGTGTTAGAAGTAGATGAGGAAACCTCTCCCTTCTTGCCTCAGACCTTCATCTTATAGGGCCCAGAGCACATCCACCTTCCAGGAGTTTAGTTGGTTGAGTTAAGTTTAGCTGTCAGAGCCCAAGGTCAGCTCCTTCACTAGTAAGAACTCTTGTAGAGAAGGCCAGAGGTGGGGGCCTGCCCCTTGTCTCCCTTGGGAGCTGCTCTATTGCTGAGGTGCTACTGCTATGCCACATCACAGCTGTGTAAGCAGATGTGTCAGCACCTTGTCTTCACATTGACCCAGACCCACTGGCCGGGCTGCCTGGCTTAACATCAGACTGCTTTGTCTCTCATCTGTCTGACCCTGATCGCTGTCTCTAGCCCTGATCGTGACCCGGACTTGCTGCTCTGCATCCCGGCTCCTTGTTGGTGAGGTCCCTTCTGATGGGAGCCATAACAAGGCTCCTGGCTACAAGCTCACCTCCCCTGTGGAGCAGCTGCCCCACTCATTGCTTCCTGATGCACTGTGTATTTGAAACAGGTTGAGGGTATGGCAAGTCTGTGTTTGCAAAACAGGAGCAATGAATGAATGAAAACAGTGAAAGGCAGGAAGATTTGTGAGTAAATAGAGAAAACACAGGTTCTCTGACTCTCAGATGACTTATGTTAGACATTGGACTTTACACAATAAAACCTCCTTATCAGTAGTAAATGGTGACCAACCCACAAAAAGAGATTTCAGTAGCTGTTTGTTCTGCAGTATGAAAAAAAATGAATTGACTCCACATTTTTTCTTTTTAAAAAATAAAAAAGCTGCTTTTTGATTTGATCATCTAATTACTAAGGTATTGCAGATGCTGTTGGAAGTATTGCGTGGCTGTTCACTCATTTTTCAGATGAATGCCTCGCTCCTTGAACAGTTGGTTATGTTTGGGTTAATGACCAAGGGCGGACTCTAGTATGGATCAGACATTGTACTTCAGGTATCAAAATTCATTTCTGACAGATTTAGGGCAAGATTTATGCATTGCCACGAAGTTTCAGTTTCAAAGAACTTGGCGGTTTTCAGTGAGGAACTGCTTAGTCAAAATATTTCTTAAAACAAGAGAACTCAATTGCAATAAAAGTGATGGTAAAGTAAAAGTCTCAAAGAGCTTCAGTTATGATCGAGAGACCTGCCCTCCTTTTCAGGTTTTATTCCATCACGTTTGCCAAAGAGCTCAACCTCAGAGGCTTTCCCTGCTGTGAACTTTTCCCCGATCAGAGCCACCAGTTCCACAACGCCTCCAGAGCACACGTTCTGCTGCTTAGTGCTGGTGGCTGGGCACCGGACGAGGGGACTTCTTCCACCCTCTCATGAGTGGATCTACCTTTTTCAATGGGGGAGGCTAACCTATGAAAGAATTAGGTGGGCCGGCTGCATTTGGTCCTTCTTTAGAAGAACTCTTCCGTGGTAGTGGTTTGCCTATGGAGTATATTCCTGTGACATTTCTACATATTCTCAGGTCTGGAGGAACAAATAACCTCCACCTGAGCTACTGAGCTTGCAGGAGGGACCACGTTTGTTTTATAGTGCAGATTCATTGTGTTGTGAGAAGGGTTTGTTCTGTGAGTCATCGTGGAAGTCATTAAGCAGGTGTCAAACAGTGTGTGTGATCCATTGGTAAAGGACAGTCAGATGAGCTACCCTCACTTTAAGTAGAGAGGATATTGGCCCCTGCTGTTCTTGTGTTTTCTTTTACCTGGGTCTGACTAAGTACCTCTTGCAGCAGTTGTTCATTCCTCCCTGTGCGTTTCTAGGTGGGCACGAAGTATCAGTCATTAGCACTTGTTTGTTCAGGTAATAGTTGTTTCGTGTTGTAGCCATTTCAGTGACACTTTATGCAGAGCTGACTGTGACATCTGCAAAGGAGTGTTTTGTCCCCTTTCTATGAGGAAAAAAAAAGGAATTCTGGGAGGAAACAAATGTAGAAATGTATAGTAGACATCTTACCTGAGTTGAACCTTTTAGATGGACCACTTATGAGATCTCTACACCCTGCTCCCCTATGCCCCTAAGAAATAGCTGCCGTCTTCACTAACGTGTGCACCATTCAGTTCCTTAGAAGATCAAAATCAAAACATTTTCTGGATCTCCTCTGGTATCCATGTAACTTTCCACTTTTCCCTCACCATTATT